CCCCTCTCCTAGGGGCGGGATTCACTGTGGGGTGGCGTGGCCCGTCTGGGCTACTTGCACACTGCCAGGCTTGTGGTGCTGGGGATCTGGCGTATTAGCCGGGGTGGGTAGGCAAGGTGCACGGGGGCAGGAGGGGCAGGCTTAGCTCGCTTCTCCTTAGGTGATCCACTTCAGGAGGGGCCCTGTGGCAGCGGGAGGGAGTCAGATCTGCTGCCAGAGGTTTGGCTCCGCAGAAGCACCGAGTTGGGTGTTTGCGCGGAGCGAGCAATTTCCCTGGCAGGAACTGGTTCCCTTTGGGATTTTGGCTGGGGGATGGGCGAGGGAGATGGCGCTGGCGAGCGCCTTTGTTCCCCACCAAACTGAGCTCTGTCGTCCGGGGGCTCAGCAGCTCTCCCTCCCTTTGTCCTCCAGCCTTCCCGCTTTCTGAGCAGAGCTGTTAACTTATGACCTCCCAGATGCTAAGTCATGCTTGCTGTCGGAACACAGTCCGTCTGGCCCCTCCGCTTTTTCCAGCCAGACTCGGGCCTCTGCTTGGCCGGCAGACGCTCCGGCGACTCCGTTCTGCTAATCCTCTGGCGGTTTTCTGGGTTATTTAGGCAGGTGTAGGTGGAATCTAAGTGATCAGCAGGACGCACGGTGAGCCCAGCGTCCTCCTATGCCGCCATCTTCCTGCCTCCCAAGAGATGCATTTTAAAGACATGAGCAGGCATTCATAGTCTGCTATGAATAGTAAGGTCATGAAAACATTCTCATAGTAATGAAGGAAATACAAGTGAGAACAATGAGGTACCACCTCCTGTTCGGCAGACTGGCAAAAAACAGTAAGGAGAAGACAGATGGACGGTAACAGCAGTGGATGAGGGACTGGAGTTCTGGGAACTGGTGGCTACCTGCTGGAGAGGGTGCAAACAGGTGCAGAGATGCTGGAAACAAGCAGGTAAAGTGGAACATGGACGCTGTCCATGACCCAGAGATCCTACTGCTGGAGCATTCATCACAGTGTGTGTGTGTACAGCCCAAACCTCAGCGGCCAGTAGATGGTGCATATTCACACACACGTGATCATCCAGTAGTGAAGGTGAATAGATTTCCAAAACCACTGAGCACGAAAGTGTTGGTTGATCAGAAAAAGAACACATACTAAGCTGAGGCCACTTATGTGAAATTCAAAGCAATGAAAAACTGTGTGGTGCTCAGTTTAAGAATACATGTGTGGGGGGCCTGATCAGCCTAATTCGAGGTGGCTATCATGAGGTGGGGGGGCAGGAATCAATACAATTAGTGAGGAAGGAAAATAATACTGGTGAGCCTCTAGTTCATAAACTAGATGACAGATATATCAGGCTCACTATAATTATGTATTCCAGGGTCTTGGGTATAAATGTGTACTTTTATGGAGACATTCTTGGTCTGTCCTCATGGACCTGTCTACGTAATTATATCAGTCACCAGGCTTAAGTTGGCACACATTCCCCCATGACTGCTTTTCTCCCAGAAGCACTCAGTTCACCACACAAATGAACAGCAGTCATGACAATAACAGAAAGATTTATGACAGCCTCTCCAGCTGGGCCACGGACAGGTAATATTAACCAAATGTCTCCAGGTAGCTACTTCCTAATATTAGTGTCTTTGAGTGTATGTTACTTCTGAGATGCCTGGCAATATCAATCCAACTTTTAGGGTTAAGTGAGCAGTCTTCCAGGCTATGGAGGCCACAGAAAAATGCCCAGCCTGAGCCCCTGGGGAAAATGGTACCCATGTAGACACATAGATCCCATGAACCATCTCACATTCTTGTTTTTCACACAGAGTGACTCCAGGGGTTACTTCCATCCTTTCCAGCAGGAAAGCTTGTACCGAATTCAGCATCTTCGTTACAGATGATCAAATAATATACACTTGGGGTCAGACCCAACTGGTATGGTCTTGCATCTGGGCTCTAACTATGAGGCAGGGACTCAATTCAGCCCTTGAAATACAGCTTCTTTTTACATTCATCTGACAAACAATCTTCAAGATGAAGGACTGAGATTTCAGTCATGCGAGACAAGTCTTCCCATGTCACGCACCTGCCATCTTGCCAAACTAGGTTTCCATCTCAAGTCGATCGCTACCAAACTACTGTGCTGCCCTACCTCCAGTCTGGCCACCTGAGCCTGTTTCCGTTAAATGTCGAGATTATCCAGGCTCCACTCAGCTCTGACAGGTGTGAAGGAGCAGAGCTGGCAGATGGAAACAAGAGACTGCTCAAGTTGTGTCGGTTCAGCGTCACACACAGAGAGACTGGTCGGGATGCCGAGCACTTGGGTGCTGGTAGATGTTCAGCCATTGACTCTGGAGAACAAAAGCCCTGATGTGCAATGTCTACCAATGTCTAGTGTGAATGCTCCCACAGTGGCTGATTTCAAGCTACCAACGTCAAGTTGTTGGACGCACAGTTGGGGAGAGATGTGCAGGAGCACCCCACCACACAAATGCAACAACCTCAGAAACACATACTGGGAGTTGGCAAACTATGGCCATGGGCTAAGTCTGGCTGGCCACCTGGTTTCGTACAGCTTGTGAACTAAGAATTTAGAAAACTTTTTAGGGGCGCCTGGGTGGTTCAGTTGTTAAGTGTCTGACTCTTGATTTTGGCTCAGGTCATGATCTCACATCATGAGTTTGAGACCCATGTCAGGCTCGGCGTTGATAGCTCGGAGCCTGTGTAGGATTCTCTCTCTCTACCCCTCTCCCCGCCTCAAAATACATAAACATTAAAAAAAAAAATTTAATGGTGAAAAAAGATCAAAGAACAATACTTTGTGACACATGGAAATTAAATGAAATTCAAATCCTGTGCCCATAATAAATATTAGTAAATTATATAGTGAATAGAGTTATTAATAAATTTTTAATAAATTAATAATAGCTATTAATAACTTGTATTATTCACAGATGCTTAACAACTTAATAATAATACAGTTTTATTGGAACATAGCCATACCTATTCATTTACATATTGGCCATGGAAACTTTAGACCTATAACGGCAGAGTTGAAAAGTCATGACAAAAGACTGTATGGCCCACAAAGCTGAAAATACTTATCTGGACCTTTATAGAAAAAGTTTGCTGAATGCTGGCATCAATAATAGTATAGTAAAGAAATTAGGAGGTGATGAATTTTGATAATCTATTATTCTTTTTTCTTTTTTTCTTTTTTTGGTGAGCTCTATGCCCAATATGGGGCTTGAACTCACCCCACATGCTTTACTGACTGAACCAGCCAGGTGCCCCTAAATTTGTTTTTTTCATATAGTTTATTTAATTGTAAGTCTGTATAACTTTGTAATAATGGCGTTTGAAAATCATGCATAGAAACTAGAGCCCAGCTGGTTTTTCTTTTCTAGTGCCATGCTAGCTGCTCTTAACAGGACAAGGTAACATTCGTCGTAAGGTGTATGTAACCCAATGTGAACTGCATCATCTAAAGTGTTAGCCATCAAGTAAGACCAAATGTTTCTGTCACTGAAGTGTTCTGAACTATACCTTGATGTTTAAAAGCAAAATCTTCAGCTCAGGTCATGATCTCATAGTTCGTGAGTTTGAGCCCTGTGTTGGGCTCTGTGCTGACAGCTGGGAGCCTGGAGCCTGCTTCACATTCTATGTCTTCTTCTCTCTCTTACCCTTCCCCCCCCTAAAAAAAAACCAAATAAACATTAAAAAAAATTTTTTTTAAATGCAGTGCTCAGTAGTCACACGTAGCTAGTGGTTCACTTATTGGATGGTGCATTTCCACTCTCACAGAAAACTTCCATTGGACAGCACCTCCCTAGAGACTAATGAGCTAGAGACACACAGAAGTAGGGGGGACAGATGCAATGTCCCCATGTAGAAGGGGGGGAGGGGATGCAGACTAGAGATAAAGAAGGTAAACAAATCACTTTGCTTCTCCAGGATTCTCCTGGTTTTGGCATGCAAATCTGCATCCTGGGAGCACCTCCTGTCCTGGTTTTAAAATGGAAAGTCCCTTGTGTAAGGGACCACCTCAGGACAGGTGGTCGCCCTGGATACCGGGAGGACCGCAGGCAAGGTCCCTGGACAGGTCAGGCTGCCCAAGCAGAGAGGAGAGCACTCACTCAGTGGAACGGAGGGATTCTGGGTGGGGTGTGGACACTTGGGTGATGGTCAGGGTGATGGTCAGTTCTAGACACCACAGGTGTCTACAGTGCTTCAGACAAAAAGCAGACACCTGCATGTCTTTGACCTTGCTGATGGTCAAAGCAGCTTTCTGACAATCATTTAGGATCTGGCTCACAAGTGCCTCCTCCTGGGTTTCATGCAGACAGTACAATAGCTGTGGGACGCCGTGGTGTGGGGTTGGGGGGCCAAATTCATGTGACAGGGCTACAACTTCCAACAGCTTCTTTCTATTACTCAAGGTCAGCTTGCCTCGGGATGACTTCTCCGCGACTAAAGCCCATGTTTCATTTAAAAGGCCGAACAGGGGGGCGCCTGGGTGGCGCAGTCGGTTAAGCGTCCGACTTCAGCCAGGTCACGATCTCGCGGTCCGTGAGTTCGAGACCCGCGTCGGGCTCTGGGCTGATGGCTCAGAGTCTGGAGCCTGTTTCCGATTCTGTGTCTCCCTCTCTCTCTGCCCGTCCCCCGTTCATGCTCTGTCTCTCTCTGTCCCAAAAATAAATAAATGTTGAAAAAAAAATTTAAAAGGCCGAACAGGAAAAGCCCCATCGGAGCGAGATAGTTTTTCTTTCTTCCGGGGTAGGCTATCAGGTGCGTGACGTAAACGCTGTCCAACACCTGGAAATTTCTGAGTCTTTGCGGGGAGGAGAGGATATACCACAAGGCAGCAAAGAATTCCTGGAAGCTCATGAAGGCAAAAGTGTAACAGTCTTGGTCACCTGCAACCCTTTGAAAGATATTCACACGGAGAAAAGTGGCAACGGCGGTCTCCTCCAGCTTGGCTCCAGGATTTCTGGGTCAAACACCCATTTCATGTTCCACATACCCTCTGCAGCCAAGTAACACAGACCTCTCAGATTTTCTTGGTGAGTGTAGCTGGGAAGTCCTCCAGCCTTGGTGGGAAATAAGCCAGACAGATACTGGACGAATAGAGCCATGGCGTTTGGATACACCTGCCTGAGATCTGCTCCTCTCTCCATCTGCTGCCTCAGACAAGAGCACACCATCCAGCAAACCACAGGGACCTGGCACGTGGACAAGAGAATCATGTTTCCCATGACAAAACTCAAGGCTTCATCAGCTTCCCTCTTGTTTCTGAAATAGGTCTTGAAACACTTGCCTCTTTCTGCCATACCAAACCCTGTAAGGGTTATAAAAGAGGGCTGTTTTAGGAAGGGCTTAAGTTTTCTCCGAGACGTGAACCTCAGAGTGATCAGTATAGTGGCTTCAGGAAGCATTCTTTTGCTCAGCAAACTGGTCAGCAGGATAGACCCAGGCAATTTCTGGCTCTAGTCCTCACTCAGGTCAGTTGGTCTATCTGTGAGGGTCAATGTTACCTCCTCAAAGCCATCAAAGAGGAGCAGAAGTTGGTCTGGTTTGGACATAATCTTGGACATGAGAGCTTTTGACCCTGGCCACTTATGGGCAATCAGCTCCGAGAAGCTCTGCTTGGCTACCTGGGCCACTTCCCGGCAATGGATATAGAAAGCACACCAGAACTTATGGGGGTAGAACTTGTTTTGTGCCCACTCCAACATCACCTTTTTAGCTAGGGTTGTTTTTCCAACCCCAGCAACTCCCTGTAGGACCACAGTCATGGGCTGTCTCCCTTGAGGTCTTCTGGGAAGAAACAGACATGGTAAGAACCTCTTGTGTCTCTCTATTTCTTGGTAGAAGAAGTCTACATGGTTCCCAGGCCAAGTGGTCTTGCTACATGTTGTGGAACACTCATCGATCACGTGCAGTTTGTACTCTTGTATTTTATCTAGATGAGCAGGATGGGAGAAATACAGATACGACATCAGGGTTATCTGCAATAACTAATTGAACAAAAAGAAAACTAACCTTGATGCCTACATCAAGCCCCACAAGACACCTGCACACGCCATGCACTTTTCTGGAGAGCACTGCAAAATTTTAGAAGCTGCAAGTAAACAGGAGAGTCCACTTGAAGTGGCTTAAATAGAACAAGGATTGCTTTTTATTAAAGAAATATGGGGAGGGTGGTGTAGAGATGTTGAAATCGGTTTGGTGGTTCTGAAGCTTCAGGGCCAAGTAACATCACATTTCTATGAGCCCATTCTTCATATTTCTTGCCTCGTGAATAAGACACTGCTATTGTAGCTATGTTATTGTTATGTAGTTGGTTATGGCATTTGTATTCAAAGCAGAAATAGTGGGGAGGAGGGACATACTAACAGCTCATGTCTACTTTTATCAGTACAAATTCATGAACTCAGGAGATTTTTAATTATATCTTATGGCCTAGAGTTGTCAGATGGTTAACCCCAATTTTAAGGGAGTCTGGAAAAAATATTTCCCTTAAGGCTGGTCACATTTTACCCCTAATTGAAACTGGATTCTGTTAGCACATGAGATATGGGGTCAGGAGTTAACAGGATCTGTCACAACCTTCATCCCAACATGTGATTCTCTTCCTTTCTTTCTTTCTTTCTTTCTTTCTTTCTTTCTTTCTTTCTCACTCTCACTCTCACTCTCACTCTCACTCTCACTCTCACTCTCACTGTGTCTCTCTCTCCCCTTTCTTCAACAGGAAACTTTACAAATTAGACATGATGTCTGGTACAATTGCATTCCCCCCCAGCCCCAGCTGATGGGTAGAAGGAAGCTTACTACAAGTTCAAGATCTATGGACCTGTTAGCTCTATGAGGGTAAGCCAGTCACAGAATCTCAGCCTCCAGCCTGCCATCTCCAAAATAAAATAGGGTTTATGACTCTGTCTGAGACTGTGGTGTCAGAACTATAAGCCCTCCAGTGTTTGTTGAACAGGTGAAATTTAACTGTGCTAAGGCTGGAGTTGGGAAACCCACATCCCACTTACTACATGCTTTCACGGCAGGTAAGAATGCTGGCCTTGGGCTCTTGGTTCCTTTTGACCTCGTCTCTTCACACAACCTGACTGAGAAGCACAAACTCAATTCGCACAAAAATAATTTGGGTTCTTTGTAGAATCTGACTTCTGATGGCCCAGGATGGTGGAATGAAGAAGAGGACGGAATAAGAGATGCGCTGTATTTGTCTGCCTACCAACCATTCCCATTCTGGCAAGAGCACTACCATGATTCTTTAGGGAAACCTCCTCTTGCAGCCCCAGTTTGTTAAATTGGGCTGTGGGCTGGTCCTATTACCAAGCTCTCTCTGAAGTGCATGAACCAGTCTTAACCAACCAGAGCATTTCATCACATCATTCATTCATGAGCTTGGGACCTCAGTTCATTAGATGAGTCAGTTCTAGGATGAGTGCTGGAGAAATGAGAAAATACTCCTCTTTCTGCTGATGCTAAGTGGGTACAATGTATGTGTAGGGTAGCTGGTGGTCAAGATGGCCACCGTGGCAGGAGACACTACTTGAAACTGGGTCCCACAAAAGAAGAGGGAGCTAGAAGGACAGAGCGATGTCTCAAGTATGTAGCCGGGGCCCCTGCCTCCATCTGGGCTGGTGGCTGGACTTTGAGTTATGTGTGTCCCCAACTACTCTTTTTTTCTTAAGTTCTGATTCATAGAAGAGATGCTGACTTACTCATTTATAATCTGCCCTGCTTCAGGAACTGAGCTTCTCACCCTAACCCACAGCCTATGTTCCTCCAGGCTTTGTCACGATGCCAGCACATACCAGATTCTCTTTCCTCCATATTCACTGGCATTTCTCTTGGGTTTGCGTCTGCTGTCTCCAGTCTGGGTAGAATGTCTGGAACAGACAGGGAAGGAGAATATTCCACTGGAATGACTGACAGGACAGGGAAAGCCATGTAGAGGGGATGGGATCTTTCAGGATGGGGGCAACAATTCACCACCTTAGTCCAGGGAGAAGAACATTGTCTTGACCCCATCATGCCATTAGGAAGTGAGAAAATGGTGCTGTTTTAGGATGTACTGAGGAAGGTGTTCAAAAACAAATTTATAGCCTAGCCAAACACAGAGGGAGAAATAAACACAAAAACACACACACACGTGTATGTGTATATAAAATATATAGACTTTAATATATATGTATGTTCACATATAGATGTATTTGTATAAATCTATGTGCAGATTTATATGTATGTGAACATAATCATATATATACAAATATACACATATAGTCCTTGATTCTTCTTATTCATGCCATTTATGTTCTATAAAATTACTGTGAACATTCAATTAGCCAATACTGCTCCCATGTGAATACAGAGATACCTTCTTATAGCCTCTGTCTACACATTTTTGACTCTTCAATCCATAACCATGGTCTATATTTGTTTTTGTTTAAAGACATCATATTCGACTATGCTATAACTCATGCCTGAATGAAGCTTACCCAACACATGTATTTTCTCTGTAAGGCATGTCCCGACCCTTTTGTGCTTAGGACACCAAATAGCACTCCACCACTATGCTTTGGGGATCAGGTTCAACAGCAATGGCACCAACAAAATACAAAAAAACACACAAAAAAGTGGCACTAAATAGATGATGGAAAAGACACTCGTTTGCAGGATGGGAACACAGGTAAGAAGGCAGAGTATTGCTTTGTTCGTCTGCAGTTGGGAACATGTGCATTCAATTGTCCTCCATCCTGCATGTCTGTAAATGAGCATCAAAGTGCCACCATTATTGATTTCGGAGTTACAAACAAATTTTAGTGAGTAGGCAGATTCACAAACATGGGATCTATAAGTAATGAAAATGGGCTATAGATAGGTCCTAAATGAGCAGTATCTGGTTAAGTTTGTTGTTGTTGTCAATATGCTCATATGATGGTCTTTGCCTTTGCACTCAGTCATCATCTTACTCCACTGTTTACCTTCTTATTCAGTATGGATAGCCAGTAAAGTATTCGGTTCTTTAGCACTGAAACCCATCCTCATTTTTATACCAGATTATTACTTACCATTTAGCTCCATCTGTACCTGAAGACACAGTTCTGTCTGGTTCATCTTGGCAAAGATGTCACGAGTCACATCCCAAGCCAGTCGTCCAGGGAAGTACTCCATCAAGAGATGAACCACCTCCCCCCATCTGGCTGTCTTCACCTGGTCCCAGGTGATCTGGACAGAGCCAGGTCTGGGGTTCTCATCCACTAAAAGCTGCTTGAACCTTTGTAGTTCCTCCTTGCTTAAATAGACCATGTACAGCATGACCCCATTTTCAAAAGGGGAGGAGGAGGAGGAGGCAGAGGACATCAAGGATGGAAACAAATAACAAGGAGAGGAAGAAGACGGAGCAGGAGGAAGAGCAGGAAAAAGGGCTAGAATTCTGATTCACATCACTTATTTTCTCTCAAGACCTAGAACCTTAGTGCCAGTGACAAAGACAACCAATTGGAAGAGAGAACAGACCAGACCTGTGGAGACGTGAAAATAGAAGAAAATGAAAACCCACCCAAGAGGATAAATTTATCAAATCCATATTTTATAGAGCATACTGTGTACCAGATACTATCTTACCTCCTTCCCCCCAAGTTTCTCTGTCCTGTGGAAGAACCCGGGGGCACATCCAGTGCTCAGGCTTAGTGTTTAGACTCAAATCCACTTGGTTGTTTTTATTCTCAATGCCACATATTGGCAAGGTGACTGGCCAAATTACAGGATCTCTCTGTGCCTCTTTTCTCACCTTTGATCTTGGGATCAGAGCCTACCTGCTCATGGGGTTGTGAGGATTCTCAAAGAGACAGATCTACAGGTACATTTGGGATAGTGCCTGGCACATCATAGCTAACACTTATTTGGGGCTTCTATCTATACCTGAGTTATTTTAGAGACTCAATGGGAATGTATAAAAAGCGCCTGGAATCAAAGGTGTGTTGTTCCTCCCCATTCATTTCCTCCACTGTCTCATCCTGTTCTTGTCTTCCATCATGGTTATCATGGGAAAGAAGTGGAATGTGGAGAAGAAGAAAGAAAACAATGAAGTCACTGGTGGGAGAGGGGCTTACTTCTTGGTCTACCTGCTGCTCACATACAATTACTTCTCTGAGTTATTTTTGTCACCACATTTTAATTCTCATCCCCATCACCTGAGAACTTCCTGCATATGTCCTTTAAGTCATTATGTATTTAAGGTACCAAAGTTTTATCACCTTCAATTAATTCACTGCAATGGTTCTGGATAATTGTAAGTTCCCTGTGGATGACAACTTCCCCTTAAATTAGCACTCAACCTTCACCTCCACTCTTGGATTCTGTCAATTCCTGATATGCGAGCAAAAACGCCTACATTAAGAAAAAAAAAAGATTTCAAACAACCCAACTTTACACTTCAAGGAACTAGAAAGAACAAACTAAGCCCAAAGTTAGCAGAAGGAAGGAAATAAGGAAATAGTAAAGTTCAGAGAAGAAATAAATGAAACAAAGACCAAAAAGACACCAGAAAAGATCAATGAAACTAAGAGTTGTTTTCTTTAAGTTTTTTAAAATGTTTATTCATTTTTGAGAGAGAGATAGAGTGTGAGTGGGGGAGGGGGAAGAGAGAGAGGGAGAGACAGAGTCCGAAGCAGGCTCCAGTCTCTGAGCTGACAGCACAGAGCCTGACATGGGGATTGAACCCATGAACCGTGAGATCATGACCTGAGCCAAAGTTGGACACTTAACTGACTGAGCCCCCCAGGCACTCCAAAAGTTTTTGTTTTCTTTGAAAAGATAAACAAAATTGACAATCTTTAGCTAGACTAACCATGAAAAGAAAAAGAGAGGGACTCAACATCAGAAACAAAAGAGGAGACATTACAACTGATACCACAGAAATACAAAGGTTCATGAGAGACCACTATCAACAATTACAACTCAAGAAATTGGATAACTAAGAAGAGATGAATACATTTCTAGAAACATACGAACTACCAAGATTGAATCACAAAGAAACAGAAAATATGTGAACAGATTATTAACAAGTAAGGAGGTCGAATCAGCAACTGAAAACCTTCTCCAGAAGAAAAGCCCAGGACCAGATTGTCTCCCTGGTGAATCCCACCAAACACTGAAAGAAGAATTAACACCAATCTCAAATTCTTCCAAAAATTGAAGAGGAAGGAACACTTGCAAACCCATTTTACAAGACCAGCATTACCCTATTACTTAAACTAGACAAGGACACCACAAGAAAATTACAGGCCAGTATCTGATGAACATAGATGTAAAAATCCTCAAAAATATGGCAAATTGAATTTAACATCACTGTAAAATGATCATATACCACGATCAAAGGGGATTTATCCCTAGGGTGCAATAAAGGTTCAACCTAAATCAATAAGCGTGATAAAACACATCCACAGAATGAAGTGTAAAACCCATATGATTATTCCAATAGATGCAGAAAAGGCATTTGGAAAGATTCAGTATCATTTCCCAATTAAAAAAACTCTTAACAAATTAGGTGTGGATGGAAATTACCTCAACATAATAAAGGCCATACATTAAAAGGCACAGCTAACACCACATGCCACCATGAAAAGACAAAAGCTTCTCCTTTAAGATTGGGAACAAGACAAAAATGCTGACTCTCCCACTTCTGTTCAACATAGTACTGGAAGTCCCAGCCAGGAGCAAGAAAAAGCAAGCAAAAGGTATCCAAATGAGGAAGAAGTAAAATTATCTCTGTTTGCAGACAACATGATCTTACAAATATAAAATTCTGAAGACTCCACCAAAAAACTACTAGAACTAACAGACAAATTGAGTTAAGGGTGTAGAGTACAAAGCAAATACACAAAAATCAGTTGTGTTTCTATATATTAAGAATGAAATACCTGGAAAAGAAATTCAATAAACAATTCTGTTAACAATAGCATCATAAAGAATAAAATGTGTGGATACAGATTTCATCCAACAGGTACAAGATCTGTATGCTGAAAACTATATGACACTGATAAAAAAAAAAAAATCAGGGGCGCCTGGGTGGCGCAGTCGGTTGGGCGTCCAACTTCAATTCAGGTCACAATCTCGCGGTCCGTGAGTTCGAGCCCCGCGTCAGGCTCTGGGCTGATGGCTCAGAGCCTGGAGCCTGTTTCCGATTCTGTGTCTCCTTCTCTCTCTGCCCCTCCCCCGTTCATGCTCTGTCTCTCTCTGTCCCAAAAATAAATAAACGTTAAAATAAAATTTTATAAAAAAAAAAATCGAAGACACAAATACATGAAAGGACATCCCATGCCCTTGGATTGGAAGAATTAATATTGTTAAATGTCCACACTGCCCAAATGCATTGTAATCCCTATCATAATTCCAATGGCATTTTCTACAGAAATAGAAATAGCAATCCTAAAATTTGTGTGGAGCCACACAAAATACCCTGGATAGCTAATGCATTCTTGACAAAGAAAAACAAAGTTGGAGGCATCACACTTCTCAATTTCAAGCCATATTACAAAGCTATAGTAATCAAAACAGTATGGTACTCGTGTAAAAACAGAGACCAATGGAACAGAATCAAGAGTCTAGAAATAAATCCATGCATATATGGTCAACTGATAATTGAAAATGGAGCCAAGAATATTCCATGGGGAAAGAATAATCCCTTCAATAAATGTTGGGAAAACTGGATACCCACATGCAAAACAATGAAGTTGGACCCTTATCTTACACCATATGCAAAAATTAACTCTATATGGATCAAAGATGTAAATGTATTACCTGAAACTGTAAAGCTCTGAGAAGACAACATATGAGAAATTCTCCTTAACATTAATCTTGGCAATGATTTTTGGGGTGTAACACCAAAAGCCTAGGCAACAAAACAAAAATAAACAAGTGGGACTATATCAAACCCAAAAGCTTCTGTGCAGTAAAGGAAACAATTGAAAAAAAGAAAAGGCAGCCTATGGAATGGGTGAAAATATTTGAAGATAAGGATTAATATCCAAAATATATAAAGAACTCATAAAACTCAACAACGAGATAATAAAACCAAAACAAACCACCAAACAGCAACAACAACAAAAACCAAAACCCCATTAAAATGGGCAATGGATCTAAGTACACATTTTTTTCCAAAAAAAATGTACCAATGGCCAAAAAGTATGTGAAAAGATGCTCAACATCACTACTCACTAGGGAAATGCTAACAAACCATGAGATAGTCTCTCACACCTGTGAAGATGATTATTCTCAGAAAGATAAAAGACAGCGTGGGTTGGTGAGGAGGTGGGGAAAAGGGAACCCCAGTGCCCTGCTGGTGAGAATGTCAACTTGATGTAGCCACTGTGGAGAACAGTATGGAGGCTCCTCAAAAAAATTAAAAATAGAGCTACTTTGTGATCCAGCAATCCCACTTGTGGGTATACAAGAAAATGAAATCAGTATCTCAAAGACCTATTTGCACCCACATGTTTGCTATTGCCAAGATACGGAAAAAATCCAAGTGCCTATGGATGGGCAAATAGATGAAGAAAATGTGGTAAATGCACAATGGATTAGTATCCAACCATTAAAAAGAAGGAAGTCCTGCCATTTGCAATTTGCAACAATATGAATGAATCTGGAGGACATTCTACCAAGTAAAATAAACCAGAAACAGAAAGGTAAAGACTATGATCTCACTTATCTGTGGAATCTAGAGTGTTGAACTCATAAAACCAGAGAGTATAGAATGGGAGGGGGGTTGTCTGGGTTTGGGCTTAGAGAAAATGGGGAGATGTTGGTCAAAGGGAACGAACTTTCAGTTACAAGATGAATATGTTCTGGGGAATCTAATGCACAGCATGGTGACCACAGTCTATCACATACATCCTGTCTCCTCCATTTTACAAAGGAGAAAAAGGAGATTTACGTGGGTTAACTAAAATCAGCCAAAGCCATGACAGAAACCAGCGATTGGAGCCATGTCTCATTCCCAGCCCCATATGCCGAGCCACGTGGCTGAACTGACAAATATCTTTATCGATAAGGAATATTTGGGGAGAGGTGGTGTCAAAGAATTCCTTAATCTTAGCTGCCTCCTGTACTTCTCTGTGCCTCATTCTTTCTCCTTTGTGATGACAGCTTTCTCGATTTTTTAGAAAAATTGTATCAGCTGATGGCTGCTGTGGACCTCTGAGCCCCGAAAGACCCATTGATATTTCCTTCAGGCTCAGCTCAGCTCAGAGCTGGTCATTTTCAAAGGTGAATCTCTAGCTTTGCTTTACATCTTTAATACTGGACAGCTGGACTTGGTGAGCTCAAGTGTCTGTCACTGTAACTCTAAGAATGTGAGATGATGCAGACAATAGGGGCAGGAGAGGGAAAAAAAAAGATGACACTCACCCCAAAAGGAAATAGGTTCCCTAGATCCTTCCTGTCAGATACATCTCCCAAAGCAGACAGAAAAGCACTTGGTCTGCCCTGCCCCCAATCCTAATAGGTTCCGAGGAGTGTGTGTGTGGGGGGGGATCAGGGGAATTAACATC